AGATTATGTTACATACTACATGGTAGAGAATCCCTTAGATTATGTTACATACTACATGGTAGAGAATCCCTGAGACTTTATTACATACTACATGGTAGAGAATCCCTTAGACTATGTTACATACTACATGGTAGAGAATCCCTGAGAATATGTTACATACTACATGGTAGGGAATCCCTTAGGCTATGTTACATACTACATGGTAGAGAATCCCTGAAATTATGTTACATACTACATGGTAGGGAATCCCTTAGACTTTATAACATACTACATGGTAGGGAATCCCTTAGACTATGTTACATACTACATGGTAGAGAATCCCTGAGAATATGTTACATACTACATGGTAGGGAATCCCTTAGACTTTATAACATACTACATGGTAGGGAATCCCTTAGACTATATTACATACTACATGGTAGGGAATCCCTTAGACTTTATAACATACTACATGGTAGGGAATCCATTAGACTATATTACATACTACATGTTAGAGAATCCCTTAGATTATGTTACATACTACATGGTAGAGAATCCCTAAGTTATGTTACATACTACATGGTAGGGAATCCCTTAGATTATGTTAAACACTACATGGTAGGGAATCCCTTAGATTATGTTACATACTACATTGTAGGGAATCCCTTAGATTATGTTACATACTAAATGGTACAGAATCCCTTAGATTATGTTACATACTACATGGTACAGATTCCCTTATATTATGTTACATACTACATGGTACAGAATCCCTTATATTATGTTACATACTACATGGTACAGAATCCCTTAGATTATGTTAAACACTACATGGTAGGGAATCCCTTAGATTATGTTACATACTACATGGTAGAGAATCCTTAGACTATGTTACATACTACACGGTAGGGAATTCCTTAGACTATATTACTTACTACATGGTAGAGAATCCCTTAGATTATGTTACAGACTACATGGTAGGGAATCCCTTAGATTATGTTACATACTACATGGCAGAGAATCCCTGAGAATATGTTACATACTACATGGTAGGGAATCCCTTAGACTAAATTACTTACTACATGGTAGAGAATCCCTTAGACTATATGACATACTACATGGTAGAGAATCCCTTAGTTACGTTACATACTAAAGTATAACCTAAATATATCGCTCCCCTAAGTGTTGCCCCATAGATGTTGATCGGTATTTGTATCTCAATAACATTGATTATGTTACATACTACATGGTAGAGAATCCCTGAGAATATGTTACATACTACATGGTAGGGAATCCCTGAGATTATGTTACATACTACATGGTCGGGAATCCCTTAGACTATATTACTTATTACATGGTAGAGAATCCTTTAGACTATATAACACCCTACATGGTAGAGAATCCCTTAGATTATGTTAGATACTACATGGTAGAGAATCCCTTAGACTATATTACATACTACATGGTAGGGAATCCCTTAGATTATGTTACATACTACATGGCAGAGAATCCCTGAGAATATGTTACATACTACATGGTAGGGAATCCCTTAGACTAAATTACTTACTACATGGTAGAGAATCCCTTAGTTACGTTACATACTAAAGTATAACCTAAATATATCGCTCCCCTAAGTGTTGCCCCATAGATGTTGATCGGTATTTGTATCTCAATAACATTGATTATGTTACATACTACATGGTAGAGAATCCTTAGACTATGTTACATACTACATGGTAGGCAATCCCTTAGACTAAATTACTTACTACATGGTAGAGAATCCCTTAGACTATATGACATACTACATGGTAGAGAATCCCTTAGTTACGTTACATACTAAAGTATAACCTAAATATATCGCTCCCCTAAGTGTTGCCCCATAGATGTTGATCGGTATTTGTATCTCAATAACATTGATTATGTTACATACTACATGGTAGAGAATCCCTGAGACTATGTTACATACTACATGGTAGGGAATCCCTGAGATTATGTTACATACTACATGGTAGAGAATCCTTAGACTATGTTACATACTACACGGTAGGGAATTCCTTAGACTATATTACTTACTACATGGTAGAGAATCCCTTAGACTATATTACATACTACATGGTAGGGAATCCCTTAGATTATGCTACATACTACATGGTAGAGAATCCCTTAGACTATATGACATACTACATGGTAGAGAATCCCTTAGTTACGTTACATACTAAAGTATAACCTAAATATATCGCTCCCCTAAGTGTTGCCCCATAGATGTTGATCGGTATTTGTATCTCAATAACATTGATTATGTTACATACTACATGGTAGAGAATCCTTAGATTATGTTACATACTACATGGTAGAGAATCCTTAGATTATGTTACATACTACATGGTAGAGAGTCCTTTAGACTATGGTAAATACTACATGGTAGAGAATCCTTAGACTATGTTACATACTACATGGTAGGCAATCCCTTAGACTAAATTACTTACTACATGGTAGAGAATCCCTTAGTTACGTTACATACTAAAGTATAACCTAAATATATCGCTCCCCTAAGTGTTGCCCCATAGATGTTGATCGGTATTTGTATCTCAATAACATTGATTATGTTACATACTACATGGTAGAGAATCCTTTAGACTATGTTACATACTACATGGTAGAGAATCCCTGAGACTATGTTACATACTACATGGTAGGGAATCCCTGAGATTATGTTACATACTACATGGTAGGGAATCCATTAGACTATATTACTTATTACATGGTAGAGAATCCTTTAGACTATATAACACCCTACATGGTAGAGAATCCCTTAGATTATGTTAGATACTACATGGTAGAGAATCCCTTAGACTATATTACATAACTACATGGTAGGGAATCCCTTAGACTTTATAACATACTACATGGTAGGGAAGCCATTAGACTATATTTCATACTACATGGTAGAGAATCCCTTAGATTATGTTAGATACTACATGGTAGAGAATCCCTTAGACTATATTACATAACTACATGGTAGGGAATCCCTTAGACTTTATAACATACTACATGGTAGGGAATCCATTAGACTATATTACTTATTACATGGTAGAGAATCCTTTAGACTATATAACACCCTACATGGTAGAGAATCCCTTAGATTATGTTAGATACTACATGGTAGAGAATCCCTTAGACTATGTTACATACTACATGGTAGTGAATCCCTTAGATTATGTTACATACTACATGGTAGGGAATCCCTTAGGCTATGTTACATACTACATGGTAGGGAATCCCTTAGACTTTATAACATACTACATGGTAGGGAAGCCATTAGACTATATTTCATACTACATGGTAGAGAATCCCTTAGATTATGTTAGATACTACATGGTAGAGAATCCCTTAGACTATATGACATACTACATGGTAGAGAATCCCTTAGTTACGTTACATACTAAAGTATAACCTAAATATATCGCTCCCCTAAGTGTTGCCCCATAGATGTTGATCGGTATTTGTATCTCAATAACATTGATTATGTTACATACTACATGGTAGAGAATCACTTAGATTATGTTACATACTACATGGTAGAGAACATACTACATTGTTGGGAATCCCTTAGATTATGTTACATACTAAATGGTAGAGAATCCCTTAGATTATGTTACATACTACATGGTAGAGAGTCCTTTAGACTATGTTACATACTACATGGTAGAGAATCCTTAGACTATGTTACATACTACATGGTAGGGAATTCCTTAGACTATATTACTTACTACATGGTAGAGAATCCCTTAGTTACGTTACATACTAAAGTATAACCTAAATATATCGCTCCCCTAAGTGTTGCCCCATAGATGTTGATCGGTATTTGTATCTCAATAACATTTTGTTTAAATTCCTTCATTTGTACAAAAGGAGTATTTATACGTATTTCCCTTATCGGTACCACCCATCTGATTCCAGGGAAGCTCCACCTTCAGTTTATGTAACATTATTGCCCCCTTGGTCCTAGAATTCTCTAGTCTAATCAGTTTAAATCCCTTTATCAGTATGGAAGGAGAAGGATAAAACAAGAGGCCCATGGGCCTTAACGGTCACCTGAGTCTACAGTATTTATTTTTGTTGTTGAAATATGTACCAATTTGAGTAAAAAATAGTATAATGTTAACTTAACTTTGTCAGGACCATGAGCTGATCATTCCTAGACCAATTTTAAGTGAGATCGGCCTATTAGAACTTAGTAGCAAAATAGCGGCCATGGCAGCCAAATTGTATTTCTGATTGACCCGAAAAATAACAACACTTTGTCAGGACCATGAGGCGATCATTCCTACCAACTTTCAGTTCAATCGGCCCAGCAGAACTTGACTTTAAGTTTGAAATGTAAAATGTTAACGGACGACGGACGACGGACGACGGACGAAAACGGATAGCAATAGGTCACTTGAGCTAAAGCTCAGGTGACCTAAAAAACCTGAACAATTACAGTATTGCGTAATAGTTTAGTATTGGGGTTGCACCACAGCACTCACTTTAAACTTTGTCTATTTGATAATCACTCCATTCTAAAAAAAAATGTGTTTTTAGCTCACCTGGTACGAAGTGCCAAGTGAGCTTTTGCCGTGGCGTGGCGTCCGTCGTCAGTATTTTACTTTAAACGACTTCTTCTTAATAACCTTAAAGCCTAGGGTGTCGATATTTGGCCAGAAGCAAACTTAGATGAAGTGCTACAAAATTTGTTAAAATTAATGACCTTCACCTATTTTCAAGGATACAGGGATCAAATATGTTAAAAACTTTAAACATCTTCTTCTTAATAACCAAACTGCAGGGAGATGATATTTGGCCAGTAGCATGCTTGGGTGAAGGGCTACCAAGTTTGTTCAAATGAATGACCTTCAATCATTTTCAAGGTCACAGGTGTCAATTGTCTTGAAAAACCTTTAAACAACTTCTTCTGAATAACCAAAATGCCCAGGGTGATGATATTTGGCCAATAACATGCTGAGATGAAGGGCTACCAAGTTTGTTCAAATGAATGACCTTCACCCATATTCAAGGTCACAGGGGTCAAATATGTAAAAAAAAATAAACAACTTCTTCTGAATAACCAAAATGCCGAGGGTAATGATATTTGGCCAGTAGCATGCTGAGATAAAGGGCTATCAAGATTGTTCAAATGACTGACTTTCACCTATATTCAAGGTCACAGGGGTCAAATATGTGAAAAACATTAACCAACTTCTTCTGAATAACCAAAATGCACAGGATGTTGATATTTAGTCAGTAGCATATGCTGGGATCAAGGACTACTATGTTTGTTAAAGTGAATGACTTTGAATTATATTCAAGGTCACAGGGGTCAAATTTGTTTAAAATCTTTAAACAACCTCTTATGAATAACCATGGGTCCCAGAATGTTTATACTTTGCAAGTTGCATCCTGAGATGAAAGGCTATACAATGTGTTCAACATAATGACTTGGTTTGACTTTCAATCACAGGGGTGAAATGTTTAAAAAAAAATTAACAGGGTCTTTTAAATGAATTTTAATCATAAATACTGATATTTTGCCTGTAGCTTTATTTTAGATCACTTTTAAGGTTACAAGTGTGAGTTTTATACCAGATGAGCGATGCAGGCCCATTGGGCCTCTCGTTTGTTTTAGGTTATTGAATGGTTATTTTTTATTTTCAGGAACAAGTTCATATCTCTCAGTTGGCAGAATTTGTGCAAAAGCGTGTGGCCGGTTCAAGCTGATAAGGTCATTGTTTAAGGAAGGATTAAACATTTCTTCAAACGTTGTAGTCAGAATATTGTCAAGAGATTGTCACAGGTATGTGTGGTATTCGGTACTACTGAACAAAGGAGACAATGAAGTTACTCTCAGATCAGCCTTCAGAGAATAACACAACTACAACATGATACTAGTGACAACCACCAAAGAATAACACTACTACAGACAGGAACAAATGTGTTACTATTATCAGATTTACTTAGTGCTGTGTTACCAACGACAGCATACAGAGAATAACACTACTACAGAAAGGAACAAATGTGTTACTAGTATCAGATTTACTTGGTGCTGTGTTACCAACGACAGCTTACAGAAAATAACACTACTACAGACAGGAACAAATGTGTTACTAGTATCAGATATACTTAGTGCTGCGTTACCAACGACAGCTTACGGAGAATAACACTACTACAGAAAGGAACAAATGTGTTACTAGTATCAGATATACTTAGTGCTGTGTTACCTACGACAGCTTATGGAGAAAAACACTTATACAGAAAGAAACAAATGTGTTACTAGTATCAGATATACTTAGTGTTGTGTTACCAACGACAGCTTACAGAAAATAACACTACTACAGAAAGAATCAAATGTTTTACTAGATTCTTGGAATACCTCCGACGTGATTAAATTAAGGCATTATGACACATTTTCTGATATACAGACTGGTATGGGGTCTCCATTCTCTGATCTTGGTTTGCCAGGTGATGAAGTCACATGATAAACCTTTAATTATGTATACAGTAATAGATCAATAATACTTGTCGGACAGAAATTGAAACACTAAAACTAAGATTTTGAACAGCACATACAAAATTATTTTATATATTTTTGTAAAAGTTCAAAATTTATTGGAACTGATTAAAAACATGAACTTCCAAACACTCAAATTGTTTTATTCTTTATTGACACAATAAACAGATTACACTAACGATAATGGATTACAATGAGTATACAATACATGTATAGAAATATGGCTAACCTTTATAATGTCCTTCTCATACCTAACAACAGAAAGGTGACATCTTTCCAAGTTGTCATCAGATCTACATTCCAAACAAAATCCTGCCCACCACTGACAGCCCATAACATATATAACAGTTCAGGAATGATATAGCTTCATCTATATTTGTAAGTTTGGGACAATCATCGTAGATCAGCTAGCACAACGAAATTGAGGAACAAATATTCAGTGTAAGTACTTAAAAGAGCTTGGGGTACAATAATGTTACACAGCTTTTGTAGAAATATGTGTAAATGACCAGCAAACAACAAGGACCTTGTTTTCGTATTCTATCACCAGTGCGTTCCTCAATTTACAACCACAGGACTTTATTTCATAGACTACACGTGTGTACCCACCCAACTCTGTAAACGACAGGGCATTGTTTCTTACCTACAGTATGCTGTGATATGTTTTTGTAAAGTAACTTTTTTCCTTAAATTGCACATAATCCAGTACAACACAATCTCATTTCTGATATAGATCAACTATACAGAACTGACCAGATCCAACTTTCTATCATTTCACATTAAAGATGAACATGTCTCCCATAGAACAACAAATATTCAATAATTTCTCGTGTACATCACTGCATTCCTGCTGGTTTCTTTCCTCCGTGGAACTCTTCAATGCACAAATGGCAACTCCAATTACCTACAAAGAATAAGTCACACATTTAATGACGTAAATAAGAAGGTTACACACACAATGCAATATGGTGCTGAGACAGTACATGTGGTAGACTTATCTTTGAGGGGACCAGAGAGATGGGGGGAATTGAGGCAGTACATGTGGTAGACTTATCTTTGAGGGGACCAGAGAGATGGGGGGAATTGAGGCAGTACATGTGGTAAACTTATCTTTGAGGGGACCAGAGAGAGAGGGAATTGAGACAGTACATGTGGTACTTATCTTTGAGGGGACAAGAGAGAGGGGGAATTGAGGCAGTACATGTGGTAGACTTATCTTTGAGGGGATCAGAGAGAGGGGGAATTGAGGCAGTACATGTGGTAGACTTATCTTTGAGGGGACCAGAGAGAGGGGGAATTGAGGCAGTACATGTGGTAGACTTATCTTTGAGGGGACCAGAGAGAGGGGGAATTGAGGCAGTACATGTGGTAGACTTATCTTTGAGGGGACCAGAGAGAGGGGGAATTGAGGCAGTACATGTGGTAGACTTATCTTTGAGGGGACCAGAGAGAGGGGGAATTGAGGCAGTACATGTGGTAGACTTATCTTTGAGGGGACCAGAGAGAGGGGGAATTGAGGCAGTACATGTGGTAGACTTATCTTTGAGGGGACCAGAGAGAGGGGGAATTGAGGCAGTACATGTGGTAGACTTATCTTTGAGGGGACCAGAGAGAGGGGGAATTGAGGCAGTACATGTGGTAGACTTATCTTTGAGGGGACCAGAGAGAGGGGGAATTGAGGCAGTACATGTGGTAGACTTATCTTTGAGGGGACCAGAGAGAGGGGGAATTGAGGCAGTACATGTGGTAGACTTATCTTTGAGGGGACCAGAGAGAGGGGGAATTGAGGCAGTACATGTGGTAGACTTATCTTTGAGGGGACCAGAGAGAGGGGGAATTGAGGCAGTACATGTGGTAGACTTATCTTTGAGGGGACCAGAGAGAGGGGGAATTGACACAGTACATGTGGTACTTATCTTTGAGGGGACCAGAGAGAGAGGGGGAATTGAGGCAGTACATGTGGTAGACTTATCTTTGAGGGGATCAGAGAGAGGGGGGAATTGAGGCAGTACATGTGGTATATAGAAATACAAGACTTACACTATGGGATCAGTGAGAGGATTTTGAAGTATTGAAGTAGTATATGTTACATGTATATGTATTGGTACAGAAAACTTCCCTTAGAAATTGAGCCAAAATGTGGTATGCAGGGAAGTATCTACTCTGGGTCGTTTGTTGGGGGTGGGAGTAGGGGAGGACAGGTGAGCTTAGAAGACTTACCCTCAGGAGGTTCAGTGAGAGGCGGATTGAGGCAGTACATGTGGTATCCCCTGTCGCAGTCATCACAAAACAGCAACTGCTCCTGTGATGTACAATACATGAAGTAAATCAATACATATTTCCTACTCAATGATTGAAAAATGGAAGAGGGGAAAGTCATATTTAATGTTATAATGAATATGACAGACATTGATCAAATTATTGCTTAAGAGTCATATTTTATGAGATAATGTAAAGTGGTAATATTAATTGTATTTTATGACAATTATGTGATAATTAACTGTAGATTTAATAGTGGAAAGGTATTTCAATCGCTACATAAATAGGAGCAACCTGCACACATACACAACCTGAAATTCACGACACATACACCTACACTTAACTGTAACTACACAAACATACTCGCACAACCCTAAATGCACAATACATACACACATATAAACACATACAACTCTAACAACAGACAAATACTCGCACAACCCTAAATACACGATACCTACACACACATGCAACCCTTACTACACACACACAAAACCCTTAATGTCCTTCGCTGTCATCTTAAGTGTAATTTGTTAATGATGAGAACATGATTTCAGCAGTTAATTGAAGGAAATAAATATGTGAGATGTTATTAATATCATAATGATTCAACCTTTGGTGTAGATTTTGGGAAAATACAGCATTTGCTTTCCCTCTAGCTGTGGACTTGCAAGTAGTTGTTTCTGAACATGTATTGTCTGTGGATTTTGTAGATAGTACTATAAAGGATGAAAATTAAAATTGACATATCCACAGAAAAGGGGGATAATGTCCTGTGATTATGGTTTTGATAAATTCACAGACTGATTTTCAGCTCAATATCTCAAAACATGAATAAGAGAAATCCAAAAAACCATTTGAGAGACAGTGGAAACCTCCTGACACTAGTACATGGTCTAGTGAGTACTTACATCATTGTCTGAGGTGTCACACACTCCACAAGTGTTACACTTGATGCATGGTCTAGTGAGTACTTACATCATTGTCTGAGGTGTCACACACTCCACAGGTGTTACACTTGATACATGGTCGAGTGAGTACTTAAAACATTGTCTGAGGTGCCACACAGTCCACAGGACTAACTCTTGATACATAGTCTAGTGAGTACTTACATCATTGTCTGAGGTGCCACACAGTCCACAGGACTAACTCTTGATACATAGTCTAGTGAGTACTTACATCATTGTCTGAGGTGTCACACACTCCACAGGTGTTACACTTGATACATGGTCGAGTGAGTACTTAAAACATTGTCTGAGGTGCCACACAGTCCACAGGACTAACACTTGATACAAGGTCTAGTGAGTACTGTACATACATCATTATCTGAGGTGCCATCCAGTCCTCAGGTGTAACACTTGATACAAGGTCTATTGAATGCTTACATCATTGTTTGAGGTGCCACACACTCCACAAGTGTTACACTTGATACATGGTCTAGTGAGTACTTACATCATTGTCTGAGGTGTCACACACTCCACAGGTGTTACACTTGATACATGGTCTAGTGAGTACTTACATCATTGTCTGAGGTGTCACACACTCCACAAGTGTTACACTTGATACATGGTCTAATGAGTACTTACATCATTGTCTGAGGTGTCACACACTCCACAAGTGTTACACTTGATACATGGTCTAATGAGTACTTAAATCATTGTCTGAGGTGCCACACAGTCCACAGGACTAACACTTGATACATGGTCTAGTGAGTACTTAAATCATTCTCTGAGGTGCCATCCAGTCCTCAGGTGTAACACTTGATACATGGTCTATTGCGTACTTACATCATTGTTTGAGGTGCCACACACTCCACAAGTGTTACACTTGATACATGGTCTAGTGAGTACTTAATCATTGTCTGAGTTGTCACACAGTCAACAGGTGTTACACCTGATACCTGGTCTAGTGAGTACTTACATCATTGTCTGAGGTGCCACACATTTCACAAGTGTTACACTTGATACAAGGTCTAGTGAGCACTGTATATACATCATTATCTGAGGTGCCACAGTCCACAGGTGTAACACTTGATACAAGGTCTATTGAATACTTACATCATTGTTTGAGGTGTCACACAGTCCACAAGTGTTACACTTGATACAAGGTCTAGTGAGTACTTACATCATTGTCTGAGGTGTCACACACTCCACAGGTGTTACACTTGATACATGGTCTAGTGAGTACTTACATCATTGTCTGAGGTGCCCCACAGTCCACAGGTGTTACACTTGATACAAGGTCTAGTGAGTACTTACATCATTGTCCGAGGTGTCATACACTCCACAGGTGTTACACTTGATACATGGTCTGATGAGTACTATGTTTTTGTTTGAGGTGCCACACAGTCCACAAGTGTTACACTTGATACATGGTCTAGTGAGTACTTACATCATTGTCTGAGGTGCCACACAGTCCACAGGACTTACACTCGATACATTGCCAGGGGTATTTCTTCACAGACACTATCATGTTCACTGTGAACTGCAGACAAGTTGGGTGACCTAAAACAAAAGTATCTGTACTTTGAAAAATATTACAAAATAAAAGAAACTGAGTGAGGAAGTAAGAAACAAGGAAACTCTATATTGCAAGCAATCC